ATTCCACATCTAGTAGCTGCAAGGAGACCTGCTTTTTAAGACAGTAAGAAATGTTATTGCTTTAAAACATATCTTTGCTTTTATACTAAAACATTAGTATACATAAATATGCAAAATATATGTGATTAGTCATGTGATTAGTTCCCCTTTACTATATTTCTGTCAGTTTCTACTGGCATATCAAATGACTTTTTCAAATAAACTGTATCAAATCAACCTACAAATTATAAATTAAAAATTTTGCACACAATCATTAATCAAGATGTATCAAGTACATTTAGTAGTAGAAGTGCTCTTTATGAATTAGTTTAGTGCAGTCATGAGAAGACAAAACCACCAAAAAACATGCCAAACTAAATGCAGTCTACTCCTTGGGCTATGTAACCACATCCTACCCAACAGCAGATTCATTTTGGATACACAGCATTTACAGCATTTACTTAAATCTAAGATAACCTCCTCTTCCTCTTTGACGAATTACAAATGCAAGGGTACACTGTGCTTGTTCATCCATCATAGGTTTCTTTGAGGTACCTTACCTCTATCCTGCATTTGCATTGCATTACAGTCCAGCTTAAATAGGTTGTAAGTGAACAACTTACATATCTTAACTGCTCCACGCAGGCTACCTCTGTGCATGCTCTATTAATGTAATATAAATTGAAATATTTTACTGAAAGATGTCTGTAGTACTGTATCCATCTACCAGCACAGTGCAGTTACTGTTTACAGCAACTTAGTTCTACCTAGCCATTTAGGACAGGGATTAAAATACATTAATTGAAGCTGCAGGAATAATTTCTGATAAGGGAACTCAGCTGGATTTTGGCCAAGATGTTGAATTTATAGAACTTTATTCTTGTGAAAAATACCATCAGCCCAATGTAATTATGACTTTTCATTCTGCCTTGAAAAGATCAGTTTTCCAGAAAAATGCTGGGTTTTTACTGTCTCAGAGGGATGAACACTATATTTGGAATGACAGCCACTATCTGTATTTTTTCTTTACATAAAAGCCATCATAAGTTATTTTTTTTCTGAGCATCAGTGATCAGGCTGATCTTAATCTCAGGTTTGTCTTGTATTTGGATAAATATGAAACATACCCTCAGAATTTGGAATATCTCCTGTTAACCATTTGCCAGTCAAATCTGGAAAGTGTGAGTCTTGTGTGATATTTACAGAAGGTATCAGTGCCTACAAACCCGCAATGCTACTGGTACCTCATCTCTGATAAGAACTTGCTCCATTTGGAGACTGCCCTCTCCATTTCACCAAATACATAAATCTGTTTCACAAAATATCAAAAAATGAAAACAGTAGGGTCACCAAGAATCCCAAATCCAGGATATCATACTTATTTGTCTCACTTGTGAGACATCTTGGAAAAGGATAAATCAATATAGGAAATTTTATATCTGACTGAAAAGAAAATACAGTCTCTTTTCCTGGAGTGACCTATATTTTCAGTCTTCTATGCACATGATCACATGTGTTGGATGCGATCCATATTGGACAGGGACAACAGTCATGCTATCCAGACCCATTACACACTGAAAAGAAGGGAGAAGGGTAAGAAAATTATTTATACTGTTCCACTTGATTAGCATTCACTATTAGAGCTCTGTTTTCCATACCTTCAGTAACTCAATGATTTGTTTCTTGGTCTGGGATCCTCTTGTTTTTTACTACCAGATATACAGACCACTAAACCTGGCAGAACTTCCATGGGAGAATGGTGTGGTATAGCTGAAGAAGGTGAGTGTGAACTACTTGAGGGGTATCTGCAAAATGTTATCACCTTTTCCTAGAGTCAGAAGCATATACCTGTTCAGATTTTTCTCAGCTACATGATCTTGATATTGTGCCTGAAGTTATCTCAACATTTATGAATACATTTCACATTCATTTTGTCGTTTCACGAGAAAACGTTAAGTAAACACTGCTTAGTTAAGTAAACACTTTGCTCCCTGCACTCACCAATTCCTGGGTATTTGGCTGTGCTACACTTGTCAGGGAGCCACTGCAGTGCATTTTTCTCTCTCTGCAGTGTTACTGAGGAATATGGTTTTGAAACTGCAGTGTGAATGGCTCTGCGAGTTTTCGTCCCTGCCACTGGTTTCACACTAAAAAGACGGGACTAACACAATCAAATGTTGATATATGAACAGGCAGTAGTCAAAGGAGAATGAACCAACAGCGACACAAAATTCATGGAACGTAAAAACTTTCTTTCAGTCCAGTGGTTACAGCCTGATGCCTCTGTCTAATTTCTGTGGCCAAAGCCACAATTCTCTCATTTTATTTGGGAACAACCTTTTCCAAGTGGAAGAAATATATTATATAAGAACAACTAGAAAACAGACCTGCTGTTAAAGTCTTCCGGAATTGAAACTCAGAATGATGCATAGTCTTACCAAAAGGAGAAGTAAAAATAATAAGAAATAATCTAGGTGTTAACCGATCACACTGCTTAGTTTAAACCTAAGTGCTATGGGGCACAGTTGTTACACTGCAGGGAGGGAGAGGGAGTGTACCAAGAATGTACTTATTTCCTTCAGGATTATAATTCAATTGGGAAACTAAAGTGATCATAAAATATACATGCTAGGGTTTAATTTTAGGTCAGAGTCCTATGTTAAAAAAGATTGCTACCCTAGATTTCAAAAACATTAGCCTGAGTAATGTAACGCAACCTCATTTTGATCATTCTGAGTTCAGAAAATGTACAATTACTGATGCTAGCAAGAAGTCACACCAAGGTCAAATGAGATTAATAAGAAATAAAACTGCATGTCAGTAGCATAATAGAAGCTGAAATGAATAATCAAATGGGCAGAACATTCATGCAGCCTTGGCAGCAAAGTCCACATAAATGGGCTTGAAAGCCACAAGAAAACACTATAGTAAGCACTTAAATCATCAATTTAAAAAAGTTTTCTGTGCAGAATGTTGCAATAAGTTTCATAATACTTAAAATATAAAGTGATTTCATAGCTTTCACTGCTGACTTTAGCACAATAATAAATCTGCAAAAATCATAAGATAGGAAAAGATTGGTTCAATACAATTGGGTAGATATATCAATAGGGAGAATTCATTCCATGTTCATTTTCTACATTGCCCAAACTTCAGAGACTTCTTCAGCATCTGGCGGAAGCAGGGCAGAATTCTAGGATGTGAAGCTGAGCGACTGCAACAACGCTCCTGTGTTCTTGGATGCTGGGTTACAACTACAGACAGTGGTACGTTTACAGGACCCGTAATGAGTGAACAATGGCTGCCATTGAACACATCTATCAACTACTGCTGCACTAAAGATGCTAACTTCCAGGTTATTTGAAGGAATAGTTTAGGGTAACTCGTTGATGTAACCACTGATATGCTGTTACACACGTATCCACCAGTGCCCATGTTCATTCAAAAACAGGTAAAGAAAGGAAACATTTTCATCATTCTGGAGAGAAAAAGCTTCCATTTTTCCCTTGCCAATATTCTCCAAAGAAGCATGCCTTTCAAGTTCACAGGAAGAATATCTACATATTTACCAGGAATTTAGTGAAAGAAAGGGAGATAATACACAGCACCTACAATTGACCAAAGCCCATAATTTGAGAATTCCTCAGTGGCAGCATGACAATGCATATTAGCATGAGTGTGAGTTGATCAAGTACAAATAAAGCTAAATATTCAGCAATACCTATTCTGCATGAAAGTGAGACTTAGACCCTGTTTAAGCACACTTATGAAAGTTTTTGAAAGAACACAGCCTAGGCAAAAGAGAGATTGTCTCCTTAAGCATTGCTCCTTCTACCTATCACATCAATACATTTTTAGACACTTTGCATTCATTTTTACACTTTTCTCCAGAAAAGATTTAGGATATTCTGTTGGAAATAAATTGACATAAACAATTTATATGTACTGTCTAATTATTTCAATGTTTAGCATTAAGACGGAGAGGCTGTAGGCTGTTTTCCAACTACCAAAATACTGCTCATCCCTATGCCTAAGCTGACAGGAAAAGGATGAAGGGGTCTGGTTAGGTCTCTGGAAAGATGTCATGGTTTCAGCTGGCATAGAGTTAATCGTCTTACAAGCAGCTGGTATAGTGCTATGTTTTGCATTTAGGATGAGAAAAATGTTGATAAAACACTAAGATTTTTAGTTGTTGCTAAGCATTCAAGGCTTTCTGCTCATACTGCCCACCCAGAAGTAGGAATGCTGGGAACGCACAAAAAGTTGTAAGGGGGCACAGCCACAACAGCTGAACCCAACTGACCAAAGGGATATTCCATGCTGTATGATGTCATGTTTAGTATATAAAGCTGGAGGAAGAAGAAGGAAGGGGGGCACATTTGTATTTATGGTGTTTTGTCTTCCCACGTAACTGTTATGCGTGACGGAGCCCTGCTTTCCTGGAGATGGCTGAACACCTGCCTGTCGATGGGAAGCAGTGAATGAATTCACTGTTTTGCTCTGCTTGCTGGCGTGGCTTTTGCTTTACCAATTCCTCTCCCCGTCCCATGGTGCGTGTGTGGGTGGAGGGGGAAGGCAGGACAAATAAGCAAGAAGCTGCATGGTTCTAGTTGCCAGCTGGGGTTAAAACACAACAAAAGAGTACCAAGCAAAGAGTGGAGCAGGTAGCTAAGAGGAAACATAGATGCAGAAATGTGTATTGCACTCAGTAGAATTTAGGCCATCCAAACCCAGCACTTGTTTTCTGTACTGCACAGCACAGCGGATGAAATTCTGTGGCCTACTTGTGCATAAGGTTGAAAAAGATGACTCTAATGGCCTGTTTTGGCCTCCAATCCATGTGCCTGATCTTCCTTTAGGCTACGCTTTCCCACTGCTCTGGCAATAAATAGCCTATATTTAGGCATGCTTAAAAGCATTTTTTCACTGCTACAACAGAGCAAAGGGGTTTCAGAGTGAACATAACTCATACTCTCAAATTCTACACAGTTTTAAATGTTAGAAGTTTAGACCTCTCTTACCTCTTTTTCCATTTGAAGACCTTCTGCTCTAATATTTCTCTCAAATACTTCCCTCTTTTCTGTCTGTGGATTAGATTTTCTGTATACCAGGATGTAGTCAATCCGACATTTCCCATCTCTAAAATATAGTCCATTAGCTTTGTTCTTATCAGGTACTTCCTGTAAAGAGAAAGTCAAACATTTCAGTAACGTTAATTTGACTTGGTAATTGCTGCTTTGTTTGCATCAGCAGTTTTCAGTAATACTCAACAGGAAAGATAAGGAATCAGAACAAGCTGTTCAAGTTTTTACGTGCTTTACATACAGTGCCTCTGAGGTCATCTGAAAGTAGTTCAGACTTCTCCATTTCAAAACCAGGAGGAATTCTTGGCCAGATGTTTGGACATATATGCATGGAACAAGAGAGAATGAAGAACACAAGCCAGCCTTTCTCCCCCCCACCTCCAGAAAATTAGGAATAGCTTCTTACACATAAAATAAAGCAGACAGTAGTGTTACTGAAGTGTAAATACAAAATTAAGAACTTAGTATAGTAGAACGTTTTTGTACATGTGAGAATAAAGGATGGCACTAATATTTAGTGCGGTGAGGAACAAGACCTGGCACAGAGCTTCTCGTTGCTCTGTGATGACTATAGTATCTCCGCCTCACAGGACACAGAAAGGGTATGAAGGTCCTGTTCCTAACTCATCAGACTAAATACAGGGTATTCTTGGGTTAAGGAACAACTGAGGAAGCTTACTGGATTTATTTGAAAGTAATTCCTGGTGTTCATCTAGCAGTATGTAAACTCAATAAATACTGTTTCTTGCCTGTTCAAATCTTTGCTCTGACAGAATGAAACAACTGGATTTCAGTTAATAAGAGGTCAAGCAGGTCCCTCTCCTGAGATATAAAAGACAAAAATGCTGGTCTCTTTTCAGAAATTCATGAGATGAAACTCTCTACAGATCCTCCTCACAATTTAACACTACTTCCACATAATACAAGTCCTGCCCAGAGGTTAAGCTCTCGCTTTCAAACAAGTTGAAATCATGTGGTAGTTTGTGGGCAGGAGTGTTTCATACAAGAAATGTACACTGTGAATGATATATGGGAACAAACAGCACTCCCTTTAGGCAGTACAATGGGCAGGGAAGCTCCAAGCTGAAGGGAGTGCTAGGCAAATTCCTCTCTTTTTTTCCAGAATTTGCTCAACCACTCGTGCCAGAAATAGCCATGTCCCATGATTTATGATCAAATGTCTAAAAAAAAAAAAAAAAAAAAAAAAAAAAAAAAATTTTGCCTTTAACATATGGGAAAAGTAGGAAATTTTCAAAATGCAGTTCTCCTATGGAGAAAGTTTCTTAATTTAGATCACAAAAAGTTAATATAGTAATAGGAAAAATAAACACAGAATTAAAAAAAAAAATATTCCTATTCAAAGAGTTTAGTGTAAGCTATCTTCCCAATTCTCAGCAGGCATTTTGATTAAATGGGAAAACCAATGAAAGCTTACTGAAGGCAGAAAGGGGAAATTTTTAAAGATTCTTTTATTACAGCGCCTGACTCCTGACACAGCTTAATGCAAACTTGATATAGTGGAACAGTTCTTTGAGCTGAAAAAGAAGGCAAGAAAAAAGATTTAAGCCCTAAGGAAATAACAGTAACAACCCATTTATATCTATACTGCATATCATGCTGACAAATGATATTATCAGGATATCAGAAGTATTTTTCACAGAGCATTAAATATGAAAACAGCTCAGGAAGCACAGTTTATTTTTTTCCATAAAATATCTATGTTGAGAAGATGTAAAAAACCCAAAAGGGTATTTAAGGTTATTTAAATAAAGGAAGGGTACAGTAAGAGATTTAGAGGTAGTGGGTCAGCTTAGTGGTCCTGCTCTGATCTCTAAGCCTCCTGCTGAGCCATCCTTCTTGTTCTGTAGGTCCATCAGTCACTATGTGCATATTAGCAAGTAAAGCAGTGTAATAGGAAAGGATCTGTAGGGCAAAACAATCTGTGCTGATGACCTGCTGTCCACACTATGTAGGCTTGAGGGCTTACTTTGGACCCACTCTAGTCTGGGTCCCAAAAATTCAGTGAAGTACATCTCACTATTTATTTGCATCCAAAATGAATCCAGGTTTGAAATCCACCACTGCTCTAGAATGCAAAAAAACCCAAACCATATATAGGGACAAATGAGGGATTCACTTCAAATGTGCACTCCTGATCTGAACTTAAAATGTTAGCACAGACTTGTCCAGAGTCTACCACAAGGAACCTGCCTCTGTCTGCCTGCAGTAGTGACTCCACTGGAAAAACAGATTTACTCTTTATACTTCCTATGTTTCATCTTTCTCTGAAGAAAATTGGTTTGCCCTACACTGACTCATCAGTGCATGTAGAACCTTGCATTAAAGAACATCTATGAGATTTAGCTGAGTTACTTGACTTGTAGGACTTCCTCCCCTATAAATATGACTTCCTGAGACATCTACTTTCTCTTAGGTTTGTGAAACACTCCCAACTGCAGTATTCACATTTTTCTCTCAGAGAAGCAGCTGGGACTCTTATCTGTACTTGGAAGGTCCTTTTAATTTTAGGAACACAGTATGTCAAATTCAGACTGATAAACACTAGTAGAGTGGTATGGCTTCTGAGAAGGAACCCTTTCTGTTGCTCTCTGCTATAGCCTGTAAGGCAGCTCTATAGAACTGAGCCTGGACTTAGAAGAATGTTGAGGATCTAATATGATATGGAGAGAGTCAGGCTGGCCCAGAAGCATCAGGACATAGCTGCTGCAGGGCTTTTGCATCATCCACAGTATTCCAGGCTAATATTATTCTAGACAGAGACTTTTCTTCTACCTTGAGCTTTGCTGACCCTTTTCTAGACATTACGTGTCCTTTCCCTGTGGCACGACTTAAAAATTCAGTTTTCCTAAACTGATAAAAAAAATCTAGAACCAGGTCTAACCATGGTTTTTGGTGGGAAAGAAGTCTATCCATGTATGTCAAACCTCCATTCCTTCATCTGAGAAAGGATGCTGGAAGCAAGTGAAAGAACAGGGAAGACTTAACTCTAGCAAGAAGCTAGCATTTCTGGCACACATCTAAAGTTGCATAACTAGGAATTATTTTCCAAGGAATGCACTAGTTTTCATATTCTCAGGCCCACAATTGGGAGCCATCAATGTTCATAGACACAGGACTCTCATGTGCTAGGAGAGCTTTAGACTAAAGGCCTTACCAAAAATGTTTCGCTATCCAAAATCAGAGAATGCATAACCCTGACAGCTACAGAGACTTTAAATGGACAAACAAAAGTGCAGTTGAGGAAGTCAAAGAATTTGAAACTTTACATGCAGGTCTTAAAAAAGATAAATCAGAAGAGACTCCAATGGGCCCTAATTTAATGACAGATTAGATTCTTGATTCCTAGTTATTCCTGCCATAATCTTCAGTGCAAGTTCCTATTTATAAAAGGGATGGTTAAAACAAACTCTGTTCTGTGCAATGTTAACAACACTGCCCCCAAATATCACCAGTTTGATGCTTAAAGTGAAGACTAAAGTAGTGACACCTACAGTTTTAATTTCAAAACTAACTATATTTGATAGAATGTCAAGAATGGGCCATATAATCTCATTTAAGTAGAAGTCAAATTTTGTCCCAGGTCCAGCATTCTCCCTTGTTTGAATAAAGAAGACTAATTTATTACTCCATAGAAAGGCAGGCAGAATAGATGCATACCTAGAGTACAACTCCTACGACATTTTTCCTTCAATTTTTACCTTCTTTCTGCTGCTCTCAGAAAATGAAACTTCAGTGGACTTAACACAATATTTTAGTGATAATATGTCCTGGATTTAAATTGTAAAGTCTATACCTAATTGATATATTGGCATATGTAAAAAGTATTTTGATGAATGCACACAAAGGGAAATGTGATTTTTAATTTGCTTAGACCGCAACTGTGTTTGAATGAAACATAAAACAAAGAAAAAACCCCACATCTCTAGCCAAAGGACAAGCTGAATCCCAATCTGGCTCTGCATCTGTTAAGGAACTGTTGATAAAACTCCATCTGTAAAGTCTTCATTGGATCTTCTGATTGAGCACAAACAACTAACAGTTGAAGCAAACAATATTTCAACTTGTCAGCTACACAAAAGTGATAGGAAATCTTTGCTATGTCCTTGTAAAGTTTTTTGATTTTAAATTCATTTTAATGAATTCAGACGGAAACCATAATAAATTATTTGGATGCAATATTAGCTTTAAAACTAAACCAAACAAACATCAATACATTCAGAGTATTTCCCCCCGTTTCACTGGTCCCAGATCCCCTATCCTGATGGCATTATGCAGGATCAACATGCTCTCTTAGCTACTAAACTGAAAGACTGGAAGGAAGCTTGAAGCTTCTGAGTTTACCCCACCACTGTATAGTTGATCTCCCATATTTATCCATACAAACCATAAAACATCTAAACAGTATAGCTTTTCCTTCTGAAATTAAGCAGCGGCAAAGCACCTTGAAACTATTTTCGTAAGCTAGAGCATCCCTCAGCTCCCATGAATACTTCCAATTTTCTGTTTTGGTCTTTTTTTCCTCTTATACATATACATGACCTATTTGCTACTTTACTCAGTTATGATTAGGCAACAAACAAACAAAAAACAGGATAATCTTTTCAACTAGGAAAATATTCCTCAGACATGTTCCCTTTCACTTTAAAAAATGACAAGGAATACACTGAACAGGAAAAAGCTTTTTGCCATAACAGCAGCACATATTGTTCTATGTCCTCCTCTGTCCTTCTGACTATTTTCTGTTCACTTTTCCTCTTTAACATGCAAAGATCATGTGCCTTTCACCCATGTCCTTTTGTTAGAGACCATATGGCACATGATCTCAAAATGCAACCCAGGAATATCACGTTAGGTTAACCTATGATAGTGTAAGCAGGCAAAGAGGGCCCTTCTTAAGATGCATGGGAAGCTGGGGAAGAGCGATGAGTAAAGGGGAAGATGAAATTGTGAGCAAGGTCAAACATATCTCTGGGTGCCCTGAATTTTGTTGCTTTAATTATCTGTCTAAACATTCCAGGAGCACAGCTCTCTATGGACTGAATTTCTAGCACAAGAAAAATCTCTAACTCTCTCCTCACCAGGGTTTCACAAAAGAACTTGTACCACAAAACCCTCTAGCTCCTGAAAAAGACATAATCTGTAATTATATCTTCTAAATTTTATCCAAACTAATAAACAAAACAGGGTCAGGGCAGAACCTTCAGCAATATCCTATGGTTTTCCATGCTTTTTAATTGTTAGTATGGTCCCTGCCAGCTTTGCTCTGTGCCAGTCAGCCCTCTGCCAAAAAATTCTCAGGCACAGCTTGTAGGTAACATCAGACCTCACACTTCATAAGTAAAAATAATCCATAAGTAGCCTGGATGCAACTGCACTCCTGAGCTGGGGGAAAGGAGAAAAGTCCGAGGTGTCCTCACTCTTTGAGGAGATAGCCCTAAACATCCGTAAGTTGTAGGGCAGTTAGAAGCAAAGTCAAAGGGTATCATGTTCTTTTCTGCACAAAAGACACAAAAAGGAATTTAGGCCCAAATTTTCATGCTTGGGTCCACAATGCTTTGTCTGCCTTAAAACATAATTTATAAGGGATTATATGCTGAATGATTTCTCCCTGGTATGTTCTCTAAATCACCATTAAACAACAACGAGACACTTGTTCTTCACTGGGAGAGAACATGTCATATACTTGATACCCAATGCTTCTCATGAGAGATTTATGATAAATTCTCCTCCTCCCTTCTTTTCCCCAAAGGATTAATATAGGGAAAACTTTTCCATTATTTTCAGAAGCAGTGAAGCATTGGACTTGACTGGTTCAGAAAACAAACAGACAACAAAGACCTATATAAAGTTTTCAATGGAGGTGCATGAAATCAATAAAACCTCCTTTTAATTTGAGATATTTTATACTTCAGGTTGTCTTGCACAGAATGAGATTTTAAATCAAGTTACATTTATTCCCTCTTTATAATTGGCATGAATAATTAAATTATTATATTAATAATTTTGTGTGTTCTTACCTCTCCCACAACTTCCAACCTGCTGGCATCATCAGAAGTACTGGTCAAATTACCATGGTGAAGCAGGGAGTCATCATCTTTGGAAGGGCTGTTTACGCCTTCTAACTCATCAAAAAAAATGTTGACATCCTTAGCTACTAAAAACAAAAATAAAAACATACATGCAAATCACCATTGAGTCAAACGGAGACACGGAGTATAACACATTATCAGTAACCCCACCTTTTAGTTCTAGTTGACTTATCTACTATGTTAAATTTAATACATGATGCACATTGGAGAAGTGCTTTCTTCACCAGTGAGAGACATAAAGATTTAAGATGTCACAATACCTCTCTGGCGACAAATAAGTAATCTCGTGTCACAATAAAACATACGTTAGTTACCTCCTCAGCTTCTCTTGGGGTAGGAGATTAAACAATTGCTTTCTAGATTATTACGGTCTCTGAAAATTTCTTATTATAAAGAAGCAGATTTTTAAGCTACTACATAAAGTGTGTAGTTTGAAGTTGTACAGAGCTGTGGGGCAGCCAGAGGCAGAAGGCCTCAAATAAATACTGCTACTTGAAAGGCACTGAATAAATGAGCCTGAGCAGAAGCTTGTCTTTGCACAATTTGGCATGTTTCCATGCGTATAAAGCTGGCATGTTCAGATCTACCTACTGCACAGCCCTCAGTCGTGCATGAAGCAATAGCTTAAATCTACAGGATGCTGTAATAAACCCAACCCTGATAACGAGCGAAGAGACGCAAGGGCCTAGAGCACATTCCCCAGTCCTGGGGATCTGGCAGTGGGGCTGCGGGCCATGACAGAGCCAGTGCAGCTCAAGATTAGAGCAATGCTAGCTTTAGGGTGACGTTCTCTGCTCTGCTAAGCAAAGAGGTGATGAAAAGCTATGAGCAGAGCTGCTGGGCACAGCTGCTGGGCACATCTACAGTCCCATGTAAGGGCTACTGATCTGCTGACTGAGTGTCTGTTGGATTGGAGATGCGGGGCGGGCAGGCTGTGGCCAGCGAGGTCCACCTTTGCACCCCATACTCTGCAGGTCTGGTGAAGAGATGTGTGGTGGGGAGAAGAAAAATGCCTTTTCTGAGGATGAAGTTTCAACTGTGGATAGACTCCATGCCTCCAACCTCATGTCTCTCATGCAAAATTCAGAATCGCGACAGGTAGAAGTGACCCTCCAAAGGTCAGTTACTGAGCCTCTTCCCCTGACTGTAGCAAGATCAAGCATCTATTACTTGACATAAACCTGTCTAACCCACTATTCCTCACACTTTTTTGCAAACCAGACTGACTTTAGGAATCGTTCTTCTGCACAACAACCTCTTGATCCTTTTGCTTCTCCACAACTCAGTGACAGGCAGTTGTAATGCCCGTTGACAAGAATTTATATTAACAGGGAACAGCCAAAAATCTCTAATTGCTGGTGGCAACTTCATACCATTTCTAACTACTGGCTGCAGGTGCAAAACTCCCTTCCCCTACTGTGGAGAGACTGAATAGCTGCCAAAAATGAAAGGCCATTAGCTGGCAGACACCATGAGCATTTTGTGACCTCCTTTTCACCTTTCCCTTCTTCAGGGGCTATAGCCTAGTTTAAGAAACCTTTTGAAAAAAATCTCTGTCGCTACCAGCACTATGGTCTCTTCAGGTAATCTATTTTTCACTGTCACAAGCAGAAGAAAGTTTTCTTCATAATATTCATCCTGAATATACATCTATGTTGCAATTTAAATATATTATTCTTTTCCTATCAATCACGAACATGGGGAAGAGATTGCTTCCCTTTTCTACGTCTTTTACAGTATCCAAAGTCTGTTATTACAACTGTATGTAGATAAAAAAGAAAACCCTATCAAAACATTCAAGAACCCTTCTTTGTTTTCATGCATAAAATAAGGACAAGGTTAATGACATACATTTTATAAGCAATTGCAATACTTTTGCTTAGAAAGCCACTAAAAGTTTCAGAAACAATAGAAAGGTCTTCACATCCAAATTAACCCACTCTAGATACTAGGCTAATGAACTAACCTAGGCAGCATAATTTTTAATAGAGATTCTGAGGTTTTAGTACTTTTAACAGTATTTTTTTTTTCATCCAGACAGCATGACAATAAGAAATGATCTGCCAAATTAACAGTTTTTAGGATAACATACTACTCCTCAAGTTTAGCAATTTTGGGGCTGCATGCCGCCTAATCTAGCTATGATTCTTTGTATCCCAATATTAGTATTGCACAATATTTAATTCCTACTTAACACTTCGTATCATAATTCATCAGCTTTACATAACACCCTCTGTTCTGCAGGATCCCAACCAGCTTTTATAGGGATAGTGGGAGTAATAGCTTCACCTACTTCACTCTCTTCTATATCGTGCGTATCATCATAGTCCATGAACATGTCAGAGACATAAAACCTCTTTTTTTTTTTTTCAGATATTAAGTTTCTGTTGCCATTTAAAGGCTGCTTTTACTATCAGTCCAGTTATTTTACTTATCCTACTTTTGTGAAAAGTGTCAGGATATCATTAGAGACAAATATCCAGGAAGGAGTTTTTCACTCCAGCCATGGCCTCACATGATCATGGTCCCAGCTAGGGGTGAGCTTACTGACAGAGGTGGAGAAGAGCATCCTGGTGTCGCTTTGGTTTATGTGATGGGCAGAGCCTGCAGCTCCTCAGTATCACTGTAGCTGCACCCAACCCATCCTAGGACAAACTACAGAGGTTTAAGGAGACTTAGAAGGCAAAAAAAACCCAGACTCCAATTTGTACTACATGCAGCAGCAATACTGAAGAACTATTTGCCACATTGCTCCATTCCAATCCACAGAAATCATACTAGAGATCCCTATAAAGGCAGGGGAAATGGCACAAGACAGCACAGTCTAACCACCTGCCCTTCACTGTCCCTACTGCTTCAAAGGGCAAGACTGGAAACATTCCATCCCATCTGATAATAATCTGGATGTAGATCATGACCAGCTTTTGCATACTTGTTCATATGAGAAGACTCTATCTGAATGCTCAACATAAAGAACTACCGGAACAGGAACCATATCAAATGACCCGAAACTGCACGGAATTGAAAAAAGAGACACATGAGCCTCTATATGATCAACACCTCCATATAGGATGAAAACAACTGCAGAAAATAAAAAAATAATTAAATAGTGAAGCTTTCTGGAGATTATGTGAGATATATATCTGTCACAGACAGAGGCAATGAAAGATGTAAAAACGAAAGAGATTTTGCCTGCATGCTATGCTCCAGGGAATTTGAGCTAGCTTTTTCCTACCATTAAGACTGCCTTAGTAGAAAAGATGAGGCCTTTGAGATACTAGAATTGCTTCTTCCTGAAGTGCCAGTAATACTTTGGGTTGCAAAATAGATGTTTTTTAAGTGGGTGTTTAGAGATGAACAACTTGGTGCGTAAGAGAGTGAATGCGTTTGGGGGTTTCAAGCAAACAATTACTGGATTATTCTGAGGATTTGCAAGGAACAAAAAAAAATCTTATTTCAAGGTCACTTCAAAATCCAGCACATCTCAGCAGTGACGAGAAGTTGTGGAAGCAGTGAATCTCAGTTGGCTAGTGAAATTAGCTACCAGGACCTGCCTGTAGTAGAAAATCACTTATATCAGAAGTACACAGATAATTGGCGTGTTGGTTGGTAGCTTCAGCAAACAGGGTAAGGGGTGAAGAGATGTGCTGAACTACCTCATCAGCACTAAAGTTGTCTGTGACCTTCTTCCAGTCACACAACTGGTGAGAAAGTGGAGATCTTTGCACTGCAGCTGCCTTGCTGTGTTATGTTGTTTGAAAATGCACTGTTCGTATTTCAGTCACAGACATTAAATATGGGGCCCTAATATTTGCCGAGAACACTTTTTCTACCCAAGTGTCATAAAATAGTGTTCCATAAAACTACCTAATAATTAAATCAAGAAATCCCGTTTGCTTACTGTCAGAATGGTGATGATACTTCCAATCCAACTCTCCTGCTGGCTGTAGCTACCTCAGCCACCCCACTCCAATGAACATGAACGGCTATTCTGCCAAATGTTGCTAAAAGCATAATCAAGGCTCCACACCTCCACCTTTTTGTCCCCTTCAGACCATGACATGCATGTATCCACAAATTATGCAAACAGAATGATATATAATAATTTAATCACATATATGTTTTGGACCTATTATCTGGGAAAGAGACTGCTGTTAGTGTATAGTTATATATTTTTAGGCAATGAAATTTAACAGCCATACAGAGCAGCGTGTACATTGCTACAGGTGATATTCAGAAGTTTTAGATCAGCTTAAATATGCAAACCATTTTCTCCCCCTCATGTTCCATTTTACAGAAAAAAGAATCCATTATGAACTTAATAATTCATAATCACTTGAGGAGTTGAAAAAATGTTGCTATACAAATATTTTAATTCCAAATATAATGGAACCACATATTGTGAAAACTGAATGCTGAGAAATTTGGAGCGAGAGTCTGCACAATCTCAGTGGGTCCAAAAGCCTCTTTGGACTGAGAGGCTTATTTAGGTAGGGCTCAAAGATAAGAGAAGGTAACTCTAACCTTCTGAAGACAGACAGTCAAAACCTGAGGTGCCTAAAAATAAGAATTTTCTTTCAAAAATGGGACCTGACTATGTTTTAGTGTGGCAGGATGGAAGCATGCCTAGATATCAAGTTTCTGTTAATTAATAGTAAATTTATTACCAGTTGTCACAGTATACCATTGACTATATGCTAGCTTTAGATAATATAAGCTGTAGACTGATATTCTGGACACTGCTCTTTGGAAGCTTTTAGGACTATCAGTAACAATGAAGAGTGAATTTCCTTAAAAATTCTTACAGGCAATGTATTAAATAAGTATAGGGCATTTCCACTTGTTAATGGTGGTAGAAAAAATTATTGGTATTAAAGAATACACCTTAATAAAAATCCTGAGTAGAAAATGTTGGTTTTACAGAGACTCCCAAAGCAGAAAAGTTTGAATATGAAAAAACAAGAACTTTTCTGTATCCAATAGTATGAGTTTTTTACAGCATCTCTTTGGATTTTTTAATACAAACATTCAGCAAGGCTTTTGACACTGTCAAAAGGTGGTAGAAAAAATTATTGGTATTAAAGAATACACCTTAATAAAAATCCTGAGTAGAAAATGTTGGTTTTACAGAGACTCCCAAAGCAGAAAAGTTTGAATATGAAAAAACAAGAACTTTTCTGTATCCAATAGTATGAGTTTTTTACAGCATCTCTTTGAAGTTTTTAATACAAACTTCAGCAAGGCTTTTGACACTGTCTCCCATAACATCCTCATTGGGAAACTGAGGCAGTATGGGCTGGATGAGGGGACAGTGAGGTGGATTGAGAACTGGCTGTGTGACAGGACCCAAAGGGTAATTATTAATGGAGCAGGTTCAAGTTGGAAGCCTGTAACCAGTGGAGTCCCCCAGGGGTCAATACTTGGACCCGTGCTGTTTAATATATTCATCAGTGACCTGGACGAGGGGACAGAGTGTATCCTCAGCAAGTTTGCTGATGATACCAAACTGGGAGGAGTGGCTGACACCCCGGAGGGCTGTGCTGCCATCCAGCGAGACTTGGACAGGCTGGAGGGCTGGGCAAAGAAGAACCTCATGAGGTTCAACAGGGAAAAGTGTAGGGTCCTGCACCTGGGGAAGAAGAATGTCAGGCACCAATACAGGTTAGGGGTGGACCCGCTAGAGGCAACTACTGAAGAGAAAGATCTAGGGGTCCTGGTGGACAGTAAAATGGCAATGAGTAAACAGTGTGCTCTTGCGGCCAGGAAGGCCAATGGTATCTTGGGTTGTATAGGGAAGAGTGTAGCCAGCAGGTCAAGGGAAGTCATTCTCCCCCTCTACTCTGCACTGGTGAGGCCACAACTGGAGTACTGTGTCCAGTTCTGGGCTCCCCAGTTCAAGAGGGACAGGGAACTACTAGAAAGAGTCCAGCGTAGGGCTACAAAGATGATTCAGGGATTGGAGCATCTCCCTTATGAGGAGAGACTGAGAGAGCTGGGACTCTTTAGTCTGGAGAAGAGAAGGCTGAGGGGAGACCTTATCAACGCCTACAAGTATCTCAAGGGAGGGTTGAAGGAGGAGGGAGCCAGACTCTTTTCAGTGGTTCCCACCGAGAGGACGAGGGGCAACGGGCACAAGTTGGAACATAAGAGGTTCCACTCAAATATGAGGAGAAACTTCTTCACGGTGAGGGTGACGGAACCCTGGAACAGGCTGCCCAGGGAGGTTGTGGAGTCCCCTTCTTTGGAGATTTTCAAAACCCGCCTGGATGCAGTCCTGAGTAACATGCTCTAGCTCTAGGCAATCCTGCTTCAGCAGGGGAGTTGGACTAGATGATCTCTATGGTCCCTTCCAACTCTAGAAATTCAGTGAAATTCAGTGAAATTCAGTGAAACATTGCTCTGCACTCATTAAGGCTGGCAGATACAATTTACAAATCTTTGTTTGAAGGAGGCCATCCTACAGAGACCACGCAGCCCAGAACTTTTCATCATGTTAAACGCTAAATTCATTAATTACACAGTGGATCAGCAACCCTGCCTGAGGAAACTCACTGATTTCTGGCTTCCACATTATAAGAATTAAAATGATAGTATCAAAGCCTAGTGAGAGTTAATGTACACTGGATTTTGAAAAATATTCTAAAACCCAAGATATTTCTTAGAATTTTGACTTTACGGCAATGACCATGAAAGTAAGTTTCATAAACTGAAGCAATTTATGGAAAAAAGCTTGAAATATGAAGGTTTTTTTTAAAAAAATAAAGGTATTTACTGCTTTTCCACAAGAAGTTCATCTTCTCAGCGTAATGAATAGGAAGCAGCCATAAAAAGGCCTAAAAGCCTTTGCTAGCTTTTGCCAAGGCCCTGGGAGAACAAACAACCCTGATTGTCACTGCCTGGACCCATGGGCCTCCCTCCACTTCCCCCAGGTCCCGGCACCTCCTTTCAGCTTCCCAGGACTGTCAGCCTCTGCCCCATTGATGCCACGGCAGGGCCAGTCTCCAGCTCTGCACAGCCCCGCTCTGCCCACCCACAGCCCCACTGCACCAGGGAGGTACCCAAAGGCCAGGGCTGGGGCTGCCTCCGGTGCCCCCCCAGCTGCCCTGCTCCTTGCTGTGGCATGAGTACAGGCTGTGAGTAGGCAGCAACAGGGAATTCTGGTTTATATCTGACAGATAGAACGTGCAGACCCTCCTGCACGTCTAGTTTGTTTTAAGTCAGATCATCACCTTGTTTTGCAATCTCCTATTTTACAGCGTGTGTCTATAGACATTTTCAGATTAGTAATTTCTATTTCTGAACTGTCTCTATGACTATAGATAAATTTCTGAATATCCTGCGGCCAAGAGAAAACTTTTTTATAAAAGACTTACCAGAAATCTCTAGAAAAATGTGTTTAAGACTCTACCATGAACTATGGTATTTAAATGCAGAATTTAGCTCTGATGCAGTAGAAATGACTCTTAAGTCTTTTATAATAGTGTATTCACATAAAAATAAATAACGAGATGGTAAATCTTTATCTTCAGTTGAAGTCTAAGATATTGAATAAGGCAAAAGAAAAATAAGAAAAGAAGTAGCTTTAGAGCACAATGCTTGTTTTAAGTAACTAAATTTAAACAAAATGAAACAAAATCTCTGCTACTGAATGATCATTCTTGGCAGTCTACCAAACAGAAAGATACACCATCTCACTGAAGTTGGATGACGCAGCTCCTGCAAAGGGAAATGCTCAGGAAATGCATTCTAGCAGAGAGATATTGTGGTCTTTCAAGTTTTGTTAGCCTTTTAAAATTTTCGTTCAATGCCAACACAAACAGGAATAAAAGTAACAATGATGACTCAGAGCAATCACCCTAGAAAGAATATTTAGGCAAGTTTATGCTAATTATTTGGTATTCACAATGGACTGTAAGTGACAAGACGCTGTCCTGGACTTGTGACAAGCCTTTGTCTTTCTAGAAGAGAATTTAACTGAAGGACCCTTAGTTTAACTTCCCGACAGCAACTGTGTCTAGTCTGTTTAAAGAAAAAAAACACTGTCTCCAAGGGTCTAAAATCTGCATCCTTATTAAATGGGTCTAAAGTAATTTATAAACCAAAATATTAATTCTTAAAACACTCTTTGTTTAATGCTATTTAGTTTTGAAATTATATTAAAATTCCTAAACCAATTTGGGATAGTCAGTGTATATCAATTAACTTGCAAATATTCGCTTTACTTCAGGTAGGATTCAGTTATATTTACACATCCACACTGCAGATGTTTGCATCCAAGTTTTGGTAGTGACTCAAGTTAGTTTATCTCCCTAAATTCAATCTGCAGGCAACTGAGACCAATAGCCACTTCGAAGTTGCAGGTCATCTAATCTGTTTTAAACACCTACTCTAAAATAAGACAAACTGAGCTCTAGACATGCTTGTTACATTCTGTTGACTGCAAAGGGAGCTTAGACAATGAATTCGGGTATTGACACCTTCATTGCAAATCCTTGTGTTCGAGTCAGATGAATACCCTCTTCATGGCCACAGAAAAATGGCATACTTTTAAAAGAAACTCCTTTTTTTTTTTTTTTAACTGGAATTTTAACATTTCAGGTTATAAGTAAACCTGTGCCACGTTGAATGAAAATTTGGGGTTATTCAGCACAAGGATATAATCAGAGAGTATGATATTAAAGTATGACACAGTACTAAGGGAAGCTGAGATATGGCCATTTAAAAGAGAACCTGTTTTGGACAAACACTGTCAATGAAACTAATCTTGACACCTGTTCTAAACAAATCATCCATTTTTATTCTTGGCCATATGCTTGAAATGGAGAAGATAGCTGTTTCTTCTTGAATTTGCTTATTTGTGTTTGTTCTCAGCTTCTCCAGTCCACATCCCAACTGTCCCCAGGCCTGTATGTGGGTTGCCTGAGTGAGGAGAAGAGGAGAGTATGCAAGATCTCTTATTTAGGTTTCCTGATGGGAAAAGCTTTTTAAGCTACAAACCACAGATTTAATCCTAAATCTGTATTTTAAATAATCAGATGATTCAATTTCTAATGATTACCACCATTATTATACTAACCTCAGAGTTTCCCTACCACCCCCAAACTAATACCACCACAATAAGACCTCAGCCTACCACCGGATGGTTCCTTATTCATATAGCAAAAAACAGTAGCACAGGATTTTACACATTCCTATACATCTTTTAGCATTCAAGAATGTAAGTAGCTGTTTCTCACTTTAGAAAATTGCTACACAAAACATCCAGTTTAAAATAAAACTAGAAAAGAGGGAAACCAGGAAGCCAGCTAGCAATGTCGTCATGATATGCGTTTTGATTCCTGGCCCGTATCAGAGTTTTTACCCTACTATGGAAAGTTTCCACTGAAATCCCAGATTTTTTCAGATTCTGGAGTTGCGTCAGTTTTGGGGGTGGTGGTGTGTCTTCCGCTGTTAACAACACTAGCATTTCTTCTAGCACAAGTCTTGAGATCATTCTGCTGTTACATTTAAGAAGGGTGGTGGACCAATCAATTCTTGGTCCCCAGCACATTACATATGAAAGGAGATGGTTTCACACAGTATCTAAGATACGCAGGCCTTCGGCTGTTATAACAAGCCCATCACTTCTCATCCCCAAAATTACCAGCTGCAAAATTATGAATATACCCCACCACTTTGGACATCTGGAACTTCAAACCTAGTCTTAGATCCCAGACTGCAGCATGCGCATGGCATTATTAGCTCACACAGCCATTCAAGAGTTTAAATAATGGATTAAAGGAAATGAGAATCTTAATATTTCTGATTACTTCTGCATAGGAAGTATATACTGCTGGAATCCTTAGGTACATAATAATTCAAATCTTACTATGACTTCTCTGATAGTAAAAGATTTCTTACTCAATAACTTCATTGAACTTTCTCACAGAATTTAGTAATGCATACTCACATATCACTCAGTTCATCACTTTGTATTTTCCTTCAGTTACAATTTCAATGCATCTCAATTGTTTCTTCTATCATAAACTCAATTTTGTATCCAAGGAATAACTTACTTTCTTGTATTGCATTAAGAATCTCTGAAAAGTCCACATCTGTCTTCTCTATGTCTGGTTTTATCCGTATTTGTGTTTCCAGCCGGTTAACCTGCAAATCCTCTCTTCCTTCTGAAGAAATTGAAGAGATTGATGGGGTTTGTGACAGTGCAGTAGAAAATCCAGTGAAGGGGCTTTCAGGTTAGGAAACATTTACGTTGAATAAAGCTACTTAATTTTTTTCCCCCTAGCCGAACCATTTTTTCTTTAAACCAAGCAGCTTTGGATATAACATGAATTGATTTAAAGCTAAATACAATGAAACAGCAGCATTCTCTGCTATCAGCAACGATGCAGAGTCACCACTGACGAGTCAGATGAAGATGTGCCCTCATGCCATGAGCATCCCCCCACCACACCCTCTACAAAACTAACTCTGAGATGTGATAACAGACAAGAGGTGCTGCTACAAATGACGTAGCACTATAGGAACATCCAGACTGAAATAAAACACACTAACGCACAAAGTATGAATTAAGCCTCAAGACAGAAAACAACCATTAGGACAAAAAGAGCATGGACAGCATGTTTCCGCCACAGGACACCATATGTTCTCATATGCCAAGCTTATGGCATGCCACAGTCTAGGAACACTCCAGTACTACAGTCCATTTTGAAGGGGGTCACAGTGGTATGTAATGGTTGCTGTTTAGAAGCACTGCAGAATAAAAACATAGGCTAGCAGGTCACAGTTTCAAACCAATTTGCACATGTAAATAGGCACAAGATTTGCCCATTTCAGTGTTCTCTTAACATGGGTGAAGAAAGAAGGAAGTTTTGAAAACATTCCATTTCCATGTAAAGAAAGGCAGCTGCACATCAAGAGTAGACAGGAAAAGGTACTTGGCACGTGGGCTTAAACTGCTGGCTACAGGCTACTCTCATACAGCCAGAAACGAGAAGGGAGCTACTTGGGCACATGGCCAATTTTTAAAAAGCATCAGCAAAACCTGATCTTTCACAAAAGCATCTGTTAGAAGTGATGTTGTTGAGTAACTAATACACAGAGTTAGCAGAGAGCTGCAGCTGTCAGGGAGATATCTGGAAAAGGACTTCAGAACAAAAGACCATGGTGAAGAAGAAACCTTCAGGTCATTTAGGCCATTACTATGCTTTCACTAGAGGCTATCACTCATGCTTTTGATGGAAGCATTTTCCTCATTTTCCTTTCTTCTGCAGTCTGCCTATAACAAGCTGGTCTTGTTTTTAACTCCCTCCTAGCCCATTGTATCTTTCCCCTCATCAAATTACTATCTCACCGTTGCCTTGATGAGAGAGCTATGAATTATATTCCTGGGCACAAAACTACTCAACCCTATTTTAAAGACCCTTCTTCACTTCTTGGACATACAGATCTCAAAATGGCTATACATACACCAGCTTCAGCCCTTTTCATTTCCCAATGGTAAATATTATAAATTCAAACCATCTCATGCTTGCCCCAGCATATTCTTTTGTTCCACAGCAAAGACCTACTGTTAACATCAGAGACAGCTCCCCTTGTAGGCTCCTGTGTAAAGTGATCTGTCATAGCAGCAGCAGGAAATCAGCATTTAATGATGTAGAACAAAGAGAATTTCTTAAGTGAGACAGCTGATTATTCATATAATAGCAGCCTAGGGAAATCTGCGAATGGCCTCAGACGTGGGAGACTAGGATGTGCCCCAGAAGAGAATTCTGAGGACAAAGGAAATATACTGCACCTGCTGCAAAGGACTTAAAAACAATAGGGTGGAGGTAGAGAAATAAGTAACGGACAGCAATTCAGTTAAGCAGCTTTGCAAGTGATATAATTCAAATTCTTGTTAAATACTCAGCTACCACTTTTAACATACGCTTTTAACAAACACAATTACATATTAGCCTCCTCAAATCCACCAGCCTTTCTTCTCCATTTCAACCCTAATAAGAGCAAAATAATGACAACACTGACAAATATAAAACACCCCTTCTCCCCAGAGTCCTCCATCCTCGTTACACCCAATCACCGCTCCTCATAACACATGAAAGTAGCAGGATCCTTGCAGCATCTCCAATAGATCAGAACTAATTGGGCCAGGGAGAGAGAAAGTGACAGCCAGCCATGGCTGTTCCAAAGTGCTGATATCAGATGGAGTATCTAACCACAGGCCTTTTTAAAAAATGAAACTGTTGGAGCACATACATATTAAATTTCAAAGCCACTTTTTAATGAATGAAAAATACTGTCTAGAAACTGGACAAAAAATGTCCAGCCTAAACCTGACTGTTCAACCTAACAGAGCTTACAAAGCCAAGACAAGTTTTGCTACATTCAAATCTCCTCTCCTGTATTTGACTCATTTGCAGTATGGGGAGCTTGTGCACTCCACACATACAGTCTCATATGCTTCTCTGACTCATGGTAGCCTTAATATTGCACAAGTATCAGACCAACAACATCATCCTCTGATTTCACTCAAAATTGTATGCATAATCTTCTTCCAGTCATTTGTGATTTAATGCATGGCTAATCACAAACTTGCCTTCAACAACACAAGGAGCAAAAGAAATATATCTGCCAACATCATAGCTTCTAAATAACTGGTTACAAAACAGTTTCTCTTTTCTCCCATGATCATGTTGTCAGCAAACAGACTTGAATCAAGGTAAATTTGCTCCTACCCTCCTCCCTCTCACTCTGCACCCACTTTTCAGGAGGGAGAGCTGCAGTTTTTAGCTGAGAGAAAGAACTCCAATGTGACGGGTCATGGACTGGCCAACTTAATGATTGCTGATTTGTTGGCAGTCAGAGGTTCTAGCCCAGCAGCTCATTGGAAAAGGCCACAGTGTTCTCTTCCGTGTCCCAAAGACATTTATTTTCTTTATCTTACCACACATCTCCAACACAACAAAACAAGACGGTATCTGGTGTTGCTACTGAGCGGTCACTAGCCTGGCTTTAGCACTTCCTTCTTGCTTTAGCAGCTACTATTTTGTGCTTTATCAGTGACAGGTCCCACTGAGTAAACTCTGAGCAATATAGCCTGGGATGCTGGGAGGGAAAGCCTCTCTTTCCATAGAAACACGAGAAATAAACATATACAAATAAATGTTAAATAAATATTAGATTTATCAAATTTTATATGATTTTATTAAAAGATCAGTCTTAGATTTTTCTCAGTTTATTGAGACATTTTAGTTCAACTGAAAAATTTAAATTAGCTCATGGCATTCACTCTGATTTACTTGTTAATGCATAAAGTCGTGCATAAAATAACATACTTTTTCCTTTATTTGTTTTGAAGGGTCTCTACTAATTAGTTTAGGAAAACAAACTAGATTTTGAAAAGGCATTTCATTTTTAGAGACTGAATGAAATAGCTTGCTCTAAACCTGAATTTTAACATGCTTCTAAATATTAAAATGATCACATGTATCACATGCAAATTACATAGCAAGGTAGTTCATACGGTACTAATGTTAAACGATGTCATTCCTACTGCAGAGAGACAGATTTTGTGTCTGCTTAAAATTAAGAACATAGGTTCTTTGCTGGATGAGGCCTTGTTCCATGTATCTAGTATCTAGCCAGTTACCACATTCAGCTTTTTAGACATGAATTTTACAAGCGTCTATTTTCTTGCACAGGAAACACCTGGAGCCAGATTTTGAAAGGTTGGACATTTTTATATTTAACACTGTGATGTGCAAACCATATTTGCAGATGGATACCCTTCACATTATTGTCTGATATTGAGCATAAGCACTGGGGTGCACAGAAAAATGTGCATAGTTTCAGTTTTTGGCTTCAAAATAAATAATAGAAAATTTAGCAGATGGAACAAGTGCTGCTGTTTCTCAATGCACAATAAAGGGCTTGTATTTATCCCCTATTTTTGAATGGACATATGAGAACAGAGCTGATCTTTGTAATTCACAGCCAGGGCCTCTTGAAGAGTTTTACCACTTAGGTTCTGCTCATTGGTTGGGATAGAAATACTCAACTCAGTTGCTTTCTGAAATTAGTCTCTCTTTGCCTTCCCTCATTTCCCATTAACTCAGCAAGTACAAACAAATGTTTCGTTTACAGCTCTAGAAGTTTCTGTACAGAAAAATTTACAGCCTCAAAAGATCTTTTATGGAAAGGCAGATAGCCAGAGACTTCTATCAGTACAGTGAGCTGCTTTTTTATTTTTTAAATCATTTTGGCAGCAAACATGCTTTCACAATGGCTATACTTCAGCTTGGAAATTAAATATGAGTAACAAATAACTAGCATACCATGTGGTTAGATGCTCCCATCACAGGGCCATCTACCTCTAACAGGGCAGTATTTAGCAAGAGCAAATATAATTCTAATAACAGCGACTTTATTTGCTACATTAAGTATTGTTACTACAAATAAGTTGCTCTTTCTTGCCAGAGCATCTTCTTTAAAGCAAGCAGAAAGCTTCTGTGCATGGTGTCCTTTTCACTAAAGCCAGCCTCAGGTCAAAATGGGGTGAACAGACCACCCTCACAGAGGTACATTTTCTACTGGCTTGTCTCTGTGAGTCCTAAGCAGGCCAGCTACAGTAAAAGCACAAAACTGGAAATTGTTTAAAGCGTTATCTCTACATATTAGTCAGAGCTATACACACATTAAATCAATAGCTTTACTGATCTCAATTCTGACATCGTATTTTCTGTGACTGGAATGAAACAAAATGTACACCACAGTGGGTCTTCCCAGCATCCAGCACGTGACTGCACTGGACAACGCACCTTAATACACGAAAAACAAATTGGTTCAATTATTGCATCAGAAAAGAAGAAGCTTTTCTCTGAGTCATAGGATATATGCAAATGTATATTCATATACACATCTTCTTAGCAAAATAAAGTTGGCCTGAAAGCAGTGGCTCAGAGATAGCTGATTATGTCTCATTAGGTGGAAGGCTGGCATGTCTCATAGTAAGTCTTTAAAAGAAAGCTGCTTTTGCTACGTTGGTCAGAGAGAAACTCAGATTGTTTTCTGTAAGAAACCCTATTCTCTTTTGTTTCTCACCAAGCCAGCAGCGTATTGCAAGATTCTTTCTGCATGAGCATTTTTCTCTCCTGAAGCATAAACT